CTGGGGGTCCATGGATCACTCCTAAGGTAACTAAGAAGAATTCAATGAAAGGTAACTGAAAAACCCGTGTTTATTGTCAATAGATTAACTTTCTCCATAAAGGAGCTTGTCTCTCTTGAAAAACATTTGGGGGCTGCCGAGCATAAAGGTTGAAAATCACTGAGCTGGAGTAATGTATCTTTATATGTGGTAATTTGACAGCAAAAGGGCTAAAGCTATTCAACTGTACCTTTATGAAAAAACGTCTGGAGAATTTAATAGAATGTGATAAACTTTGCATTGGCACTTTTGATTCAGTCTCTGAAACCTGAGTAACTGAAGGGATTCTATAAAAATAATTCTACAAATGTGCAAAATAAAAGAATGAAGTCCTTTTCATATGGATTCCAGCTGATCATATGAGCATCATGCTCATGCAGTAGACTGGTATTATTCTCTACTCTTTTAAAGATTTAACCCTGATAAATGGTAAAGAATTGTAGACTAATTTCTGTAGAACAACAGGTTTCATCCCTAGTACCTATGCAATGACTTTCTAGTTGTAGATGTACATTGAATTTAATTTAAGATCTATATAAATAATTTCTACAGGATGAAGAATCAAAGATACTCAGGATTTTGAGTTTCTCCACCAGGGTAGCTTTGAATCCAGACACCCAGCTCCAACAGTCAGATCCCTTGAACAATGTGGTTTTGTCACAATGCCATAGACTTTTCCTATGATGGTTGGTACAAGAAACTCTTGAAAAATTTTATTAACCTCCTCTGCATTTATGAAGACAGGGCAGGATTTGCCAAGCAAAATGATTCCCCTCATGGTTATACATGGTAAACTGTTTTAAAAGTGTTTTGGGGCTTTTTTTCCTCCCACATTTGATTGAGTTTTACTTGATTTTGTCAGTATTAGTTCACCCTTACTTGAACTGCTGGATAATTCATTTGTAGAAGAGGCAGTACATTTAGGTACTTCCATCTGTGTTTAAACAAGGCTCTTGTGCTTTCCCATTAAAAAAAACCGATTTTGTATTATAATGCTTGTGGTAGATGAGGTTCTGAATTTAACTCCTTCCTACTCTAGTTTCTCTTAACGACTATGTTATCAACACCTGGGGTTTCTAGTTTACTCTCTTTGCAAATATGAATTTGCAAGAAGGGGTTGATGGTAAGTAGCGTGGTTTTAATTTGCACTTGCGAAGTGTGTCAGACAGTTTCATCAGGGCATGGTGAGCAGAGGAAAGCCTGTCTTCCTCTGAAAACAGCCCTCAGAGGATGTCAGAGAGCGTGTTTGGCTGCGATAATCACTTGCAGTATGGTTTTGAAATGAGCTGTCCAGGAGCTGCTGGAGAAAGGGATGCCAGTGCTCCTATGAATTCACTCTTTGTCTTTCTCCCTTTTCTTTCTCCTGTTTCTACTTGTTTTCATGTTTCTGGGCTGTCACTTTGATGTGCTTTTGGATGAATCTACCTCGTTGTGTTGGTGGAAGTTCTGTGGATTCACTTGGATGAAACGTTTGTGACAGTCATCTGTTTTGCTAGACTGTACTCAGTGATACAGATAGCCCCTTCCAGCCTTCTGTTCCTTACTCCATGTACCTAGCATCTTTACAGCCTCATTCATCCCTCCTATCCTCCTAGTACCTTCCAGCCAGCTGTTGAAATCTCTCTTCTAGTGGTATCTGAGTACCCTTTTCTCGTCCTTCCACACATTCCTGTTCTCAGACCAGGAATCTTGTCCATAGTTACTGTTCATTTATAAATTTTTTTCTTAATCCATTAGTAATCTTAAGGTTTAAGCCTCGGGTGATATTTGAGTGCATTGCTGGACAGTGGCCACCCTTCTCTCTCTCAGGCAAAAGGGCAGAGGATTTATGGTGATACCTCACCTCTACCCTTGCACAAGAGCTACAACCAGCTTGTGTCCCCATAAATCATCAATGCTCCAGTAGTGTCAAATTCCCTGTAGCCTGTCCCATTTCTCTACTATACCACATCAGCTAGCCTTACACCTCCCCCCTAAACCCCAGCTTTCATCACACACTTGCCCAGTGCCCTCAGAGGAATTCAGAATGAGTCACGCAGAGCGCCTCTGGGGACTCCTACTGATGCAAACTTCCTCCTCCTCAAGGCAGCCTGTGGTTTGATGCCACAATGCAGCCGGTACTTGTTCGCTGGGGAGTTGATAGTGAAGTTTGGGCTCTGCTCCCCCCAAACTGCCACCTTCCTTCATTGGATTCTGGTGCAGGAGGGGATGCTCCCAGCTGATCCTCTTTGTGGTGGCAAACATAGGAGTTTCTCAGTGCCGGTCCACAGATTGTGAAGGTTTGGGGTTTTTTTGGAAGAAGGGTTTATCATTCGTTCATAAGGTGCATTCCAGTCCAGGCAGGAGACTGGCATCAGGCCATTAAGTGGAGTGTTATATGGATGTTTATATGTAAGATTAAAGTCCCTCAGTTCTTGAGATAGGATCAGAAGAGCTTTAGTAGTGTCTCCTGACCTGCTTCCAGAGTCTGCATTCAGAATTAGAGAATGTGATGAACAGAGCTCACTTACGTTGTTTTGGTTTGGTCTTTCCCCCTCCCCCAGACAGGCCATTGTCTTTATAACATTATCTACATTCTGCCTCTTCACATAGAAAAGAAAAATGCTTTTCTGGTGGTAATTACACAGTGCTGCATTGTGGACCTTTCATCCCATTACAGTAAGTGGACAAACTACTATAATTTACAAGAATGAAATAGGTGAGGAAATGGGAAAGTTTCTGGCACTCCCAGACATAAATGCCAACCTGACATGGGAGAATAACTCTGACAGAAAACAAGTTTGCTTGCTAGCAATGAGTGCTGGTGCAGTTGTGTTCTGGTGCAGGGATGGAGGAGTGCTGGCTTCTCTTCAGGTGTTTCAGACAAGGAAGATTTGGGAAGTATTAAAGGAGGGCTACAGACCCTTAGCCTGTCTCTGCCCTTGCAGTTCAACTGAGACACGCTTCAGCTCTTCCTTGCTCTCAATTTCAAAATCTCTTCAGACTGTCTATGTGCTGCCTTGTCATGGATCTGTTAGCAAGGTCATGGTGTGAATACATTGAGATGTTTTCCTCCAGCAGAAGTTTGCTGCCTTATTATTCCCCATCTCTGAATACACACCTTTTACACCTCTCAGAACAGACTGATGCTCTTATTTGTCTGGGGTTTTTTGCTGACATATAGTGTTTCCTTGTGGGAGGTTTGCCCTGAAGGTGTGATTGCAGGAGTAAGGTCTTTACCAGTGCATTAGCAAAAAAGTATTTGCACATCACCAGGGAAGAGCTGCCAGTTGGGTGGTAGAGCTTTCTTATTATCCCTTGAGTAGACTTGCTTGTAGGCTGTGCACTAGAAGCTGAGTAGCTTGCACTTATCTTCTTTTTCTTTGAGTGAGGTGGCTACCAAATGTTAGGGGATACAACCATCCTGTATAGAGGATGTTTCTGCCACCCCGCGCAGAGGATGAGTTTGGAACCCTTGGAGGCTCAGGGTGCCTGAAATTCCCCCAGCCCCCTCTGGGTGGTTTGGCAGCAATTAATTGCCGCCACCTGCTGACCAGGCATAGGATTTCTCTGGCCCCAGTACAGCTTGTGCGTGTCCCGAAGAGTTCTCACCATGCCCTCCCCAGCAAGAGGGTGGTGGAGCAGTAGGTGGAGGTCAGGGTGCCTGCATAAAGCAGGAACACCTGGGGACAAATACAAGGTTGGTCATTTAAAGGTGGCACATGCCTTAGAGTGCACATAAACATGAGTGAAGGCTGAGCTGGTCTGCTTTTGGGCTGCTGTGAAGTTGTAAATTATCAAGCAGATCATAGGTGAGATCCTGGTACGGGAAGTTTAAATGAGATATAACGTCATATAACTATGGTGTTAAGTGCAGTCAAACTGCATGTCTTCACTTGCATTTCCTCGTAGAAGGCGTAAAATTCAGGTATTCTTTTAGAATAAAGGAAAATACAGAAGCAAGACATTTTACCTAATCCTAAACTTTAGAAATTCAAGTTTGCTCTTCTTTTATTTAGTGAAAGGACATAAAGAGTGTTAGTCACCATTCTTCAGAAACTATTTAACATTGTTAGCTCTTTAACAAAGATGTCTTTTCACACTGGTGAATTTGAACATTTAAATGTGAGGTAAGCCAGACAAACAAGTACATTAGACTGAAGGATGTACAATGCCTCTTAGACGACGTCACTGCACCGAAGCTTCATTCTGTGGCCAGATTGCAGGAAGCGGCAGCATGTGCTGTGATCCTGTTCCCTGGCTGCCCAGCATTGCTGTGCCCGGGGCACTGGTGCAGGGTTACATGGCTGCCGTGGTAGGAGCTGACTTCTGAAGCTCTTGGAAATCCTGACCTGCTTTCTGCCCTTTAATGAAGCATGTGTAGCATTTAACTTTTCTGGGGTCACTCCAGGTTTTCAACCAGTACAGCTGGGGTAGGGACACCTCAGTAACTTGCTTTGATTGGAGTTCATTCTTCAGCCTGGGACCTGCTTGCAGGCTATCCCAATCTGCTGCCTCCTACACCATTAAAGGAGCTCCTGTATTGGGGCAGAGCCCTACAAGTGCTCTAAGGACCCAAGGAATTTCATATCTACATAGAGACTATAATCTCATTTTCTCTCTTGTTCAAAATGCAATCTTTTCACAGGAATGCATGGGGTTTTCCCTAATTATCCTGTAGCGAGTCTCCCTTTTTTTTAGCGTGTATAATTTTTTAATTTGTTTGCTTGTTTGGAGGCGGAGAAGCCTCCAAGGAGAGATGAAATGCCATGCATGGCAGTTCTGCTCGGCTGCTGCAGTGCCATCCCTGTTCCGTCAGAGCAGGGGAAGGTTGCTATTACCATTCTATAACGCATGGCCCTGGGTTATTCTTGCTTTCCTAAGCAGTTTGAGTTGTAAACCTCCATTTCCACCCTCGTTGCTCGACCCAGTTCCCAAGTGGTTCCTCCTGCTGATCCTGTGTCTCTCTCCTTGCTCTCCAGGCCTCGGGAACCTCAGGCAGTTCCGCTGCCACCACCCCATCCGTGTCCACTCCTGTCACTGGCCACAAGCGGATGATCATCCCCAACCAGCCTCCCCTCACCGCCACCAAGAAGTCCACTGCCAAGGGCCCAGGGCAGCCAGCGCCCATCCCGGTCACTCCCGTTGGCACCCTGAAGCCGCAGCCGGTGCCGGCCTCCTACGCCACGGCCTCCACGCCGAGCCGCCCGGCCTTCAACGTGCAGGTGAGGACGGCGCAGCCCAGCCCGCACTACCAGCCGCCCAGCCCGCAGCCCGGGCACTATGGCAGCCTGGGGCCCGGCCAGCCCTACGGCACCGCGCCGTCCCGCCAGCCTGCCGCCCCTCAGTACGGAGCGCCGCAGCCCCACGGGCCCAGCTACGGCTATGCCCCTCCGCCCGGCCGGCCCGCCGAGCCCACCTATGGCTACGCACCGCCACAGGGCCGCTACCAGGAGCCCTACTACGGGGGCTATGGCGGCAGGAACGGCTCCGAAGCGCCCTACGTGCCGCAGAGCTCCTGGAAGGCCGAGCCGGCCTATCCTGCCAGTAATGCCATGGGCCAGGCTCCCCCTGGGCTCTACCAGCCACCAGCCACGAAGAAGACCTACATCACTGACCCCGTGCTGGCCCCACAGCCGCCCGCCCTGCAGCAGAAGGTAAGAGATGCAAGTGGTCACTGGCATTCCTGGGGGAGCCACATGGCTGAACGTGGCCTGGGACACTCCCGGAAACGTGATGGGGGTTAAGGTGGTGCTATCAGAGATGTGGGGCAGGTCTCCCTATGTATGGCTTCTTAAAGCTGGAAATAGGGAACTCTCATCTGCTTTGAAAAGAGCCCCTGCAGGGGCTTAGAAAAATTGTCAGTCTCAAATGGTGAGATGATGTCGCATGTGGAAGCATGGTGGGAGGCCATGCTCCCTCCCATGGGAGGAAGGGAGGCTTTGTCCCTGTGACATGCTGTTGCCCCAGGAACTCCCTGGCCGTGCCTCCATAAAGCATCGCTGAGCTGGAGCCTTTTCTTGAGAGCACTCCCAACATTAAGGGAGAGGTTGGGTGTGAGCTGCTTCATGTGCCTGTGGACATCCCTGCTTCACAATCAATCCTCCCTGTCCTCAGGCAGATGGGAGGTACACGAGAGGCTGGTTTTGATTGTGGTTCAGAGTGATTGTGGAGGTTGTCCTCTGGTGTGTCGCTTTCAAAGATCACTTATCACTGAAACCACATGGAAATGAGTCCCCACAGAGCTCGGCTCTGGTTTTCCTCTCCGATGTTGGTACACCGGGTGGCCCCCATCCACTTCAACAAGTGCCTGGACCTCACAAAGTGAAGTCAATTTGAAATAAAAAGTTAAAGTGGGTCTGCCTGGTTTCTCTGCCCAAGCTGATCCTGCCTGCCTTTTGTCACTTCTGTTGGTGGCAGTCTGTAATGTGGCTCTGAGAGGACAGAGTTGTTGTAGCTTTGTGGGGCCCTCGTTGTGTATGGTGAGCTGAGGTTCCACAAGGGGTGAAGCAGGGAGGTAATGATGCTGTTGCTGCCCAGGCCCACCTTGGCATATGTGAGCACATCCATGCTCTTGAGTTTATGGGTGCTCACAGGGAAAGGTGAAAAAGCTTCTGATACATAACAGAAAGCCTGTCCCTTTGTCATTTCCTTCTCTAACAGCACACAAATGGTCTTCCCTGGATTCCCGGTTTCTTGACAGTGGGAACTTCGAAAGGCAAAGATGTTTCTCAAGGCAGTTTAGAGAGGGCAAGAAATTACAGAAGTCCTTGAAATATTATCTACTACCAGATAAGAAACTGCTTTTTCTCTTTTCTTCCCCTTCCTTAACATGAAGCTTTGAAGCAGGGAGAGAAGTAATAAACTCTCAGCTCTGCAGGTACTTGGTATAGAGCTTAGACTGCAAAGTAGTGAAAGGCACAAAATTTGCACATAGCCTTAACTGATGTAAATGGTTGTGGTTCCAGTGGAATCACTGAGGAAATGCTGAGGTACAGCAGATCCATATTTAGACTTTTATAGATACAAGTAGGTTTATATATATAAAAAATTTAAAAACTGTAGTTCACTCAGCATCTCTATGGAAACGCAAATCATCTTGAACCACAAACAGCACAAGCCTGTTAGTCGCATTTGCATTACAAAGCTGGAGGGACAATTTAATTTAATTTAGCTCAAGTTTGGGGTTTCATGTATGCCTATATATATTTATATATACATGTTGGTGTGTGTGCACGTGGCATTTGCAAATACACAGTGCAGAAATACTTCATGAGTACATCTATAAAAAATAATTTCGATTCTTCTGCAGAACAGACTATCATCTGCTTGATGATAATTCCCTCCAGAAACTTTCTTTCTCTTCCAGCCTGCTAAATAGCTGTTTTCTTACCTCTTTCACTTTTGAGCTTACAAATCTGTAACATATTGGTGGCAGGCTTTGCCTTTAAAGCAGTGTTGTCCAGCCTTACCATGTGCTGTTCTCTTCCTTTGCAGAATATCCCATTCATAAAATCGACTTCGGGAATTATTTTATTTAAAAAGGGAAAAAAAGACTGTGTTAGAGCCAGATATCTGTTAGGGAGAATTGTCACTGTAATTTGACTTGGCTGTTATGTGAATTTTAACATCTACACACACACACACACGATTCTGCATTTGCTTGTGTTTTGCCTTTTCAAGGTCGATTTGAGACCTTTCAGTTAAGGAAACAGAAAGGGTAAGAAGCATTGTTACATATCACATAAAATGTAAGATGACCTTTAGGAATTTTTCTTCTTGCAAGGGAATGATTTTAAAATATCAAACAATTTCTAAATGTATTCGGGAAAGTGCACACCTAATTTTGAACACAGTTTGTGTGTGCAAATTATTAAGGATGTTGTAGCAAATCCATCTCAGATTAAAAGTTCATGGTCCTTAGTTCTAACATATACCATGATCCATCACTGTGAGAGGCAAAATTTTTCATTAAATTTGTTTCATGTTTTCAAAGGGTAAAAATAAAAGATTTCTATTTGGCATTCTGGCTAGGAAGAGGTTCATGACACTGTGGCTCTGGTTTTTTTGCTGTGTGCTAATCATGTTGAAGTCGCTGCTGATCCAAAATAAATCTGGATTGGTATGGGAACAGCAAATAATCTGTACTGGTTCTTAAAGCCTGCCGAAAACAATGAGTTTTACTCACACACAATTCCACGTTGCATTCTGTCCTTAGGCACTTATGGAGTGAGCGTCATGCATGTGAAGCCTCTGGGCATTTTAGTCTTTTGCAGCACTGTGTCTAGCATTAGTGCCCAAGTCCTAGTTAGGAAATGATCTGGTGGAGTGCATGTCCTCATTTAAACCTTCATGTGCTTCAACAGCCAAAAAAACCTCAGGAGCTTTCTCTTCTGGATGGTGGGTGGTGGGGATTTCTGTAGGAGCAGCAGCAGAGCTCTCATGAGACTATTTGACTCCTCTTACGCTCTTGCTATGCCTGCTCAGATCAAGTCAAAATCTGAAGCCTGCCTCTTAACTTCTCCTTTCCCAAAGGGCAGAGGGCACAAGGCCAGGGTGGCTCATTAGGTACACTCATTTCTGGCTCCAAGATGTCCATAGTAGATATGTGACAAAAAGCCAGTTTCTGATGTAGAGTATTCCCAGAACTTTGCCCAGTGGCCAAAGCAGGACTGGTAAACTCCCACTGCTGACCAGCTCATCTGTCACCAACTGTTTCTGTGTTGGACTGGTAAAGACACTGAAAATCCTTGTTGAGTTCTCAGATCTCCAAATCGGTCTTGGTCCTTTCACTGTTTTTGGTCATGTTTGAGCATTTTTGAGACACTCATATCTCCCAAATGGATTTGTAGACCTTTTAGGGACCTTGTGTATCTCCTGATGTATTTGAGAGGTGGCTGTGGGAGATGTGTTCTTCCTAGATCTCAGATCCCAGCTATTCTCCTAATTCTATTCATAGGCTTTGGGAAGCATATTCCTTCCTAAAGGGACCTTCACATTTTCAGCTTCTAGACTACATACCACTGAAGCCATTTGAGACCAAAATGGTGGAAATCTTAACAAAAATACTGATCTCTTGAGAGCAATTCACCAGTTTGGTGAGGACAGAAGTGTCTTGTGGCTCTGATTTAGTATAGCATCCAAATCCACATTCTTTTGCTGCAGATTTGCTGGAGGGAGAAAGGAGAAATGTCCCTTTGGTAGCCGTGTCTGTTCTCCTAGACATGGCACAAGTGCCCGAGTTCCTTACCCTGGTCAGCCACAGGTCCCATTATCCCCATATTCACACCTATAGAGGCATCAGTGCATATGGAGCACAGCCTCCTCTTCAGACAGTCCTTCAGTTTTGCACACCTTTCCAGGTGAGCACCATGAAAAGTGGGGTGACAACTGTAAGCCAGGGGGATTTAATGAGGCAGCTCATGTTTGTGTCTTGGTTTAGGTGGTGGTGGCTGCTCATGACTAGCAGACCTCAGCCAGCGCGTGGTTTCCGCGCTGCTGGAGGTGATTTCTTTGCACCCAGCCCTGCCATGGTCTCATGCAGCTTTCAGTGCCCAAAAGGGACTGTGATGGCTCGCTGTTTTCTTGTTTTACACAGCTTTTGTCAGTTTTTCCACTGATTTAATACCTGTGATGGAGACATTTGCTTGGAAGTTTCATCTTTGCCTCAGAAACATATGCTCACAGTGCCCTTTGCTATGACTGATGCACTTCTCTTGTACTGGTCTAATAATTTTTACCATCACTCACATAAAGGAGACACGTCCAGCACTTGCGTTTGAACTGAGACTAATTCTCTTGCTGTTTGCTGTTAATTTAGCAACTAGAAGTTTTTCCTTCTCTGCAGATGAATAAAAGCAGTCTGCCAGATTTCCTCCTGCTGTCACAGGGATATATTCCTTCCTGGTGTTGCTTTTGACTTGTGGAGAAAGGCAGGCGGCTTGCTTTGCGTTGCTTGCCTCCCCCAAAGTGCCTTCTCACACAAAATTTTGTATCTTTGCCCAAGTGTCTTCTTCACAAAAGTTACGTATCAAAAATTGTCAATGGATGGAATTTGGAGACAGTGTAAAAGGATGATTGAAGTTGGTTTTCTGTTAGTGTGGGACAGTGGCTTCCCATAGTTTTAGTATGCTCAAATAAAGTAAAACAAAGTAAAATTTAAAATGATTATTTAAAATATTCTACTTTGGCATTTAATGAATTTAAAAAGACTGAAAACGAATGTAAAATGAAATAGAAGGTGAAATTCTGAAATTCAGAGTTGAATCTGCGAGTTCAGTGTGACATTTCAAAATTTCCAGATGAATATGCAGTTCCTTTCTTTCCTGAGAATAGCAACAAATGTCAAAATGTTGACATTCTTCACAAAACAGTAATTCGGAGTTCTAACCAGCACTAGCTGTATATCGGCTGCTGACTCTGTCATTGCTTCTGGGTGGATTAAATTAAATACTGTTGCTTCTGTTAAAATGAGGAGGAGGGGAAAGAAGGCAGTTATGTCTAACAATAAGATGAGAAGCTCCAGGACTTGTGGTACAGTGACATTGAGAATGATGTTTTCCTCTTCAAGTTATAAATCTCTGCATGAAAATCTTTGTGGGTTTTTTCAGGTGAATAGGTGCTGGCAAGAGATGCAAAAAGGTGTTTTCAGAATGGT